AAAAATATGTGATAAGGTAAAGAAAAAAAAACTGTAAAGACAAAATATTACTTAATATACGTTTTTTTAAAGTAATAAACATTTAATTTTATTAAAAAGAAAATTTTACCTTTGATTACCGGTATGCATATTGACGCTAAATAACTACTTTTATGTACATAGATATCATAATTTGAAACGTTAGTAGTAGTTCGAAAAGCGAACAACGAGCGGTCCATTGCATAACGAGCGTACATTTTCATTTGCCTGCGAGCGCGAAATTAGAAGTACACCCAACCTCGGTTAACTATGGCATTCCGCTGTTTGCATGCCGCTTGCTATAGCATTATGCGGATACATCACTTTCATTACCATCCACGTGGAATACAACGTATTTAATCAACGCGCTTGAATCAGTTCACCCTAGTGGCTTTTCTACGTATCAGTCAGAAATATAGAGACATAGACATTCGGGAGTCCAAAGTAATTAAGTCCTACCAAGTGGCTGCTCACGTTGATTTCGACATCTAAAGGATAATTTTCTTTTAGGGCGTGCGCATCGATAAGCGTGGCTCGGAGTGGATGTCCGTCGCGGAGATCTGCTCCGTGCTCCGTCGCGGAGATCTGCTCCGTGCTCCGTCGCGGGACCCGTTTAACCCGCCGTGGGACCCAGAGGCGGGTGCCTCTCCCAACGCAGCAACAATTTCGGTTGCGCGAGTCAATAATGGATTATTTTCGTTGATAATACTACCAAGTTAAAAGTGAACGCAGACGAGAGCACATGACACAACCTATCGAGCGTGCACCGTCTCCCGCGAGGCGAGTCTTGAAACGAACACGCCCGAGCGAACGCCCGCTCCGTGCCCCGTGGCCAAGTGGTTTGTACGCCGGGTTTTATGGTGTCGCCGACTCGAAAGATCCCGGGTTCCAATCCCGGTGTTTTATTTGTTTTTTTTTTCACACAATGGGTAACCTACATTATCGAAATTTTCATACAGATCTTTAACTTTTTTGGAAATATTCTATAGCCTTTCATCAGGGACCATCTTGGATTCTAAATGTGAAATAATTTTACAAATCGGTTCGGTAGTTTCGGAGCATTTTCTTTCAACACACACTAATTAGCCTAGCCCCAAAGTAAGCACTTTAAGGCTTGTGTTATGGGATACTAGGGTAACCAATAGAATACATATACTGTACATATTTTAATTTAACAGGTTATCAAAAGGTCTGAGTATAGATTTATAGGCTATTAAGATTAACAGCAATATTACATTTTAAAAGAATAGGATAAAATCTTTGAGTCAAAGATTGGATAAAAGGTTTCACCTATGTAAATAGAGTCCAAAATAGAATGAACATGTAACAGTATAAATAAAATAATATATATCAATATTTCCAACACTCACACCAATTAGCCTAGCCCCAAAGTAAGCACTATAAGGCATTCTATCCGTTACCCCTAGTATCCCATAAGGTAATATGGGATACTAGGGGTAACGGATAGAATACATATACTGTACATATATAAGTATATTTATATAGAGATACATATTAAACATCCATGACTGGAGAACAAATGCTCGTATTCATCACACAAACATCTGCCCCCACCGGGATTTGAACCCGGTACCTCTCGAGTCGGCGACAACATGAAACCCAGCGTACAAACCACTCGGCCACGGAGGTAGTCGGAGCATTGTTCACGTACAGTGCTGTTCCAAAGACATTTTTGACCTTTCACGAAATTAGAAAAAAAAAGTATTACACAAGTCTTTTTTCTTTTTTCACATAATCAAAACTTAAATAGATACTAGTTGACCCAGCGAACTTCGTAAAGTCATAAAAATAAGGGTTGGTGGTCGAAGGCTGAAAATTTCGGGTTGTATGTATTTTTGTGTGATGTATCATAAAAAATAAAAACTTAAAAATTTGAATGAAAAATAGATGTTGTCCGATTCTCAGACCTACTGAATATGCATCTAAAATTTCACGAAAATCGGTGTAGCAGATTCGGAGTAGATCAATTACGCACACCGTGACACGAGAATTTTATATTAAATATTGATTTGAAAAGTCGCATGACATCACGTCTTGGTACAATTTTTACTTAGAAGTGACGTCATGAACCAACACTCCCAAATATTGACTCGCTTTATCAATGCAATTTCTAATCGATTGACAAGAGAAAAAATAAGTGTCCATATTTTTTTATTAATCTAAATGACGGAATAAAATTAAGATTTCGTTTTATTTACCTATTTACACCGTCATCGTCCCTGTTCAGTTGTTATTAACTTCTGTTGCCTTCATGCTTTCTTTTTATGCTTTTATATTGCAATTTGCTGCTTACTCTTACGTAATGGGACCTGTCGTCATATCGGTTGCAAGTATCAGGTACTCGTAACAAACAAGGGTATATGGTAGCAATCCCGTTAATAACATAAAATGCATTGTTTTGTAAGTTTAGGTGCCGGTGGTACTATACAGGACGTTCCACGGTAATGCCACACGGAGGGAAATTATATTAAATATTGGCTATAGGATATTTTACTGAGAGAAGACATCAATTTATTTTTACTAATAAGAAGAACTGCATTCACAAAGGATCAAACTGGAAAATGTGAATTGTGAACCAATATAACACATGTATTGTATGATAACCGTGGAAAGGGTTAATCATAAGGATTATTTTTTCCTAAATAACAAAGCATTTTGAATGAAAAAATCATGAAATTTGACATTTTATTTAAAATAATTAAACAAACTTCAATAAAAACGAAATGGCGCAAGATTTTGTTTTTATTTAATTTTTCAAATGTTCAAAATGTGATACATTCTGTTGTAGTTTACAAATTCTCAGTCTTTTTAATAGTTTCTCTGTCTGTCGATCAACATAACTTTGCGCGGTGAACTAATACGTCAAGTTCATTTTGTAGCTCCTGCACTCTGTCGTACCCGTTTTTGTAAACTAAATCTTTCACATATTAAGACTACAAAAAATTCATTCGCATTGTAATTGTGACCTCACAAAGAACCTATTACAGTTTGTATAAGTTAGTTAAGCATGAAAAAATAATGAACTGATACCTCAGTACCTATAAAAAGGAAATCTTGTATTATTAAGTGTTAGGTCGCTTGTTGCTTATTGCAGAAAAAACTTCTGGCAGGCATTTTGTGCTATACCATTCGGCGTTGATGCTGCTTTGGTGTCGAAGTGGAATTGAAATTAGGTACCAAGTAAAAGTGAAGAAACTAGTGATCAAAATTTTCCCAGCACACTTTCTTCGGTGACAGCCGCTGTAGGACGACCACTCCTTTGTACATCCCCCAAAGTAAGACGACCGCATTTGAACTCGCTACACCAGCGGTAAATGGTTGCTTTTGAAGGTCCTAAATCCGTAAAAGCAGTTTGAAATCGATCAAATGACACATCAGGTTTTAAGCCACATTTAAAATCGTAAAAAATCATAGCATGAAAATGTTCTCGATGCAGATCCCTCTTTTAATGAGACAAGAAAAATTTAATTGGCCCTCGAAAAAAATTTGGAGGGAAATTTGAAAATCGAACAGTGGTATTTTTACTTTGAAATAATCGAAGATTTCAAAATATTTACAAGTGGCTCTTATACATAAAAAAAACTTTATTTTTTCAAAACTTTCGGAGTGGCCTGGTATACATCGTCATGGGCTATATCTTAAAATCGATACATCGATGTGTCCTGAACTTCGACGTGCTGTGTCTTACTCTGTATTCGGTCTTATAAACTAAAATAAATAAATCAAAAGAAAATTTTATAAGAAAAATTTTACGCTATACGGGCTAATGCACTGACCATTATGCTCCCGCGGCCCTGATACATGATGGTGGTATCGAATTTTCTCTAGCCTTTCTTAGGCTGCAAGGCAGTGCCATCTCTTCACATTGTAGGTAACCCACAACATCAAATGGATACCTTTACAAACATTTGAAACAAGAAATAACAATTATAGTTTTTTTTTAAAATTTTAAGCATTTTAACTGCTAGATGTATAAATCTAAACCAAATTTTACTAGAAAAAAATACACGAGGACCAGGCAGCAGACGGGACTCGAACCCGCACACTTAGCTATCCGGGCGAATGGACTGACCATTATGCTACCGCGGCCCTATTGGCCGTATCCCTATAGCCTTTCTTAGGCTGGAAGGCAACGCCATCTCTTCGCATTATAGGTAACCCACAATGTCAAATGAATACCTTTACAAGTATTAAACATTTGAAAGAAGAAATAGCAATTATAGCTATATTTTTTAAGCATTTAACTGCTAGATGTTCATATCTAAAGAAAATTTTTGTAGAAAAAAATCCACGCGCGCCAGTCAGCGGACGGGAATCGAACCTACACCCTTCGCTGGCCGGGCGAAGGCACTGTCCATTATGCTACCACCATTATGATATTTTTGACCTATTTACTTACCTAGTGAAAAGATTTTTCGCTTTACGTTCCATAGAGATCAGTTACGTATAAAAACAAGTTTATGTTGCTAATATAGGTACTTCTTATTCACGTTAAGAAGACTAAAAAAGATATGATTTTGTATCGGGCCTTTCATTAAATATCATTTAAACCAATTGAATTCATTTCAATATCATTCGTAGTTGTAGTCGTACCTTGAAGGCTATATTAAAATATCTACGGTTGGCCAAACCTTATGAAATTCCTTTTCTCCAAAATTTACTGTGGTTTTATTTCAGAACCCAAGGTAAGGAAAGATCCATGGGTCTGCAAGGTCAGAACAATTGGAGCATTATCTTCTCATCTGGGATTCGTGGTAATAAGATGATTACAGAAACATTTACAGTGTTTGATAGAAATAATATCGAATCTAATAGAATCCCACAAAGTAGAGTTGAACAACAAACATTACCAATTACTTATCAGAATTCATCAATGATTTATGTTATTTCATCTACAATAACTGTAATAGTCTTGTCTGTTAATATGACATAAATAAATTGATTTCGCATTTACAGTAGGTATGTACTTTAACTTTATTTCAAATGTCATTTAATATTATAAATGATTAACTAAGCATATCTAATCATACAAAACTACTTAAACAAATAACTAACGTAACAGCATATCTATCTTTTCAGGACCTCTCGTAACTTTTTAATAGCGTGTAAATTGTATAATTCGTTCGTGTAATCTGAAACAATAAACTTTGAATTAAACGACTGCATAATACCCCATATACCCACCAACTTCAGACCAGGGCTCCATGGGGTTGAGGTTTGGGTCAGGGTAGACAACTTATGTCATTATTAGTGCCTATGGGTTATAACAACTGCTTTACATCAGGCGGTCCGTTAAACTTGTTCGCCTCCAAAGAGATTTAAATAAATTATTCTATTAGTTAGATGTCTTTGTTTACCACCATTTTCACATTAAGTAAAAAATAAAATTCAAACCTTACCCATAATAGAGTTGAAAATGATATAGGTATTATATTTAAGACTCTTGGAATCAAGCGGTAATGCCATCGACACATTGCTATCAAAATTAGGCGACGAAATTTCGGTGACACAGATAACCAATCGCTGCAGTAAATTGCTGTGTTGACTGAATCACTCTGAAAAGGAGTATTTATTTTATTTTTCATCTTCTACCTGATTTAATGTTCATGATAGATGATGATCGTTAGTTTATATCCACCAAGTGTAAAAGTTAATACTGTTATTATTCAAAAAAATGGGGGATTACAAAATACACAACATTACATACCTCATTTTGAACTAACTGCCCATGATAAGAATATAGAAAATTTTCAAACTGTAATACTATTAACGCAGAAAACATAAACGCAAACTCAAAAGAAAACACGGGTGCCTGAAAAATAAACACAAGTCAATACTTATTACATGATTGAATTAAATACTTTACGACCGTTTCAGAGTCGTTATAAATTAAATACTACTCAAAATCATGTGTTATCTTTATTAACATCAGCCTATTTTCGTCTCACTTTCCAAAAAACTTATTGCAATAGTTTCATTTCCCAAATAAATATTTAGCAACTTTATATTTCGCATTATATTCACTTGGTCAAATTATTAATTTGTTATTATTTTACTTTGTCAACCTTCTTTGTCAAAATTAAATGTTTATTAAGCAAATGTGTTGTTTTGCCAAATATAGTATTTCAAAATTAAAATTTCACATACTTAAATTATAGCGCTAGCCAATAAAGTAGGTTAGATTATAATAGGAGAGCTACTGAACCCTCCGAGTAAGGGTCAACTCACACCGAAAGAGCGGCAAAGGGCAGCGAAGCGCAGCGACCCGCTCGGTAGAGAAGGCGCGCTTATGGAATTCGTCGGAATTCCCGCGGCGCCGCGAGAGTCGTTCGAGTTTCTCATGCGATAATAAGTATTATAGTAATGAAAATAAAGTTAAAATTCATACGACACTGAATCTGCGCTCCGCTTCGCTGCGCTTCGACGCTCTTTTGGTGTGAGTTGAGCCTAACGGTCTGTCTGTAAGGTTAGAAATTCTTATGGTGATGAGTCATAGCATGTTTGTACAGTAAGCATCGCTTGGCAGTCCTTAAAAAAATGCCAGGCGTTTACGATGACCACAAGTACGCCAGATCAAAAAATCGACTTCAGCCAATGTACCAGCATCATCGGCAGATATATTTTTATGAACTTACATATTTTTTATTAAGTTTCATCTAAGTATCGAGTTCCATTTTTTCAAATCGGTCTACCTACTTACTTTTCTTTTATTTAAATCGCTTAAACAAACACATATATCAATTTCAACTTTACAAAATAAAGTTTATTTATTAAGGGATAGTATAAATAAGTAACATGGCAAATATTAAACTAAAACTACACTAAAACTAGACAAAAATTAAAAAATAAATAAAGTTTATTTTTATGTATATATTCCGGTTTATACACAACTTCCGGTTCACCTGGCGGGTATTTGTGCTCATCTTAAAAGCCTGGCAATTTTTTTAAACTTAAAAATGAATAAACTAAATTGTATAAAAATTTCAAGCTTACAGCTACAAGTTTTTTTTAATATTTTTTTGTCAATTTCAAAAATATAGGGCTTGATGACGTGCAGGGCTAAGGAACGCCGGGCGATGCTTACCGTACTAAACATGCCATGACTCATCACCATAAGAATTTCTAGCCTTACAGACAGACCCTTACAGATAGACTCAGATGGTTCAGTAGCTCAGAACTGGAACGAAGTCAACAGCGCGCGAACCTAGCGAGCGAATCGAGCATCCCGTTTTTTTTTTTTTTTTTTTTTTTTTTGTTTCCTCCCAGGCGGGGGAGCGGGTGAGAAATCCTCATGGATACCCTGCAGCCGGCTGCAGGGTTATGTCAGACTTCTACTGACTAAAAAACACCCGTTGGGACTGCCTCTGGCCGGGAAGGCCTTTAAGGCTTCATCGGATGCGATCGTCCCCTGAGAAGGGGACGATGCAGGAGCATCCCGCAGCAGCGCCCGCTTAAGAGGGGAGGCGAGCAATGTTTTTTTCCTTACAAACGTTCTCGACTGATTCCTCCTTGATTTTTATCACTAAAGAATTGATTTTGATACACGAAATATAATTTTCCCGTCTGCTGCCTAGTCCGCGTGGAAATTTTTCTAGTTATATTTTCTTTAAATTTAAACATCAAGCAGTTACATGCTTAAAAAATAAAAATTATAAATATAATTTTACGCATTCTATGCTCCTATGTATTCCTTGTTTCGATAACTTGTGGTTCAAAGAAACTAGAAGCCAAAGAAAAAGCAGACAATGTTTTTATCATCACTAAAGATATCTAGTGTAAAGATTTAATAAGCATTTACAAAAAAAGGAAAGCAAGCAACAAAGCAAGCACTACTAATTATTCTAAGGGTAAAATTTATTTTACATATATCTAATTTTCGAGGAGGAAATCGTCGAGAGCCATATCTTGAATTTTGCGATTTTTATACGCAATTTTCAGCGTTAACTATTGTTGTCCCTATCGCGCGGTATTAGCCAATGCGTGACAGCAATAGCTGTTTCAAATACCTATTTCTCATAAGTTAATGTTATGTGTAATCGTTAGTTATAAACAAAACATGGAGTACAAAACACACTAATAAATATCATCGGTGTAGTATTTATCACTCATTTACGGCCCACTTGCAGCAAATTCGTAAAATCTCGATTCAACTAAAACTAGATCTATCCCATCGAAAAACGAAAAAACGTCATTTTGAAATCATTATGTTATGGGCTATAGCTTGTTTCAGTTAAATTAAGGTTAAGAAAAATTGCTGCAAATGGACCTAAAAAAACAATCAAGTTATTTTAATGTATTATCTTCGTATAAATAAATAAATTAAGACATTTGCTGTGATAATCAATTAGATAAACTTAAGTTCGTTAAAAATTATATTTTTTGAATATCTTAACTTAAGAAACTTACCGATGTCATGTAATATATAATTAAACAAAGTGCCAGTGACAACGTCATAAAATTCATTGTAAGCCCAAGATTAAGAGCATTATTTATTTCATTAATAAACCTAAAAAAAAGTACTAAAGTCATTAATTGTCACTTACAGCACAGAACTGACAGACCTCCTAATCCCTTTCTGTGTTCTGTGACTTAGACCAATGTTCTTAAAAATCTAGTAATATCATATGGAATATCTTTATAATCCAGTTTTAAACAACACTTATTTAAGTGAAATGATGATTTTGTTATCATTTAAGAATTTTTGCTACAAATGACGCTAATATAAATTTTACATTAGGTATAAGTGCTGTTTTAAATTGGATTTATAACTGGATTATTGAGATATATTATATGATATTTCTGAACTTTTAAGAATAGTATAGCTTAGGCGATGGTGATGAATTTGTTATTATGCAAAGTAGATTGCTAGTTACAATTCGGTGAGAAGTTGTTATCTGAAAACATTTTTTTGTGACGACTATAGACAAATTGATTAATAATAATTTATACTCACCATGAAATTTTTTCATATTTTCTTACAGAATTAATGTAACGATATTTTAAATTAGGGTCGACTTCATCCCTGTACTTAAATATACCTGATATACGCGAGACATAGTCATCATCAAACATATGCCGCAATTTGTACTTAAGTGATTTCAGTTGGTAAGTGGCTTGCAAATAATATGTAATCAGCATGCAATCTATTCCATAATGACCAAGAGCAGACCACGTTCCTTCCACTGTTCCCCATATAAAAATAAAAATGTATCTGCAAGTATAAACTTAAAACTAATTTAACATCTCTTGCAGCAATAACTTAATGCCTTCCCTGGACTGAACCTGTCGCGGCTACATCCATTCGAACTGTGGCTGTATGTTAGCTTACTCTGAAACGAGCTTTAAGAGCACGTCACGGAGGATTTCTACAATCAGTAGAACAGATGGAAGCTCCGATTTCTCTAAATCCATTCATACGACAACCATATTAAGAAGAAGGGGGTGAGCAGTGCCGTCTTTGACCTATTGGAGGCCTAGCCCCTCTAGCATGACCACCGAAACGGGATATGATAAAGCGATATATCGACATTAACTGTCAGACTACTTTTTTTTCTCTCTTTATTTTGGCAGCAAATAATTATACATCAGTTATGAGTAAAGACCTATAGTGCCGAAAAGTGATATTTACAATATTTTTTCTATGGTCGCACTTACTTCCTCTACAGCCCGACAAGGATCCCCACCAATGCGAACGAAAATCGTAACTATCGCCGCCACCGCCACACAAATATTATATACTACTGTCAAAGTCCATAGTAGTCTGACAGTTAATGCCGATATATCGCTTTATCATATCCCGTTTCGGTGGTCATGCTAGAGGGGCTGGGCATATTAAGATAAATGGGCCCCTATGACCCCCGTTTGGTGATCTAACAAGAACTAGGGACTTTGTATTTGTGATCTGAGGTGCCCACCTATCGATCACGGGGCCTTGGGCACTTGCCAAAAGTACCCACTGGGAAAAACGGGTCTGGGAGTGAGGAATTGTATTCATGCCGATTTACCGCACGGATGGATTTCATATGAGAACTAGAATAAGACTGAGAAAATTTATCTAAAGCAATTCTAACATTAAAAACTGATCTGTTTTTATACCTGTGTTGAGAGCGGACATCGAAGGGATAATATAAAGGCCCTACGAATGTAGGATCTTCTATCCAGCTTTTCACTAAATTAGTCATCCATATTATAAGAATTAAAATCACCCAAGACAACAACAATCTGAATATTCTAGACGCCTTTGATTTGTATTGTTTTAAATATATCTCTTCTCTTTTAGTTTCTGCAGCAAATATTTGATCTGTGTATTAAGAAAATACCTTTAAATTATAGATTACTAATTAAGTACTTAGATAATATTTTTCTACTGTAAACTTATAATATTGGTAAGTATTAAAGATCTATGTTAAACGAAAAACACGAAACAGGTTTCCCCTTATCGCTAGCTAGTTTGCTATCAAAGGAGTAGTTTCCCATTTGTATGAGACTTGGGCTAGAGTACCTACAAATATATAAGAAAATCAATGACATGGTCGACTTCGATCATAAAAACTTCCGTGTGTCGCTCGCCTGAGCACGTATCAGGTATAAACAGTTAAGAAATGTAAAAACAGTAACAGCACAGTACTGAACAAAATGTTTCGAAGTACTCATCTTGCCTATCGTCGAGGCACGCCGTTATGTACACACATCAAAAAAGTTTTCGTGCACTTTGAAAAATATATTGTTTTTTGTGTTACAGAAGACTTTTTGTAATTTCTTTTTCTGATAAGGTTCTAAATTTTTAAATTAGAATTAGAACGTAAAACAATAAAATAATTCAATTGTTTTTCTATATAAAAATACATGCAATCCAAGCTGACACTCATTCAGAAATCTGACTTAGTCAATATTATCGAATTTAAAATACTTTTTCACGGAAAGTTGTGATTTAAAAAATATCACGAGGATTATCAGATGTTTTATGAGCCAGAATTGTAACTTTGAGGGAAGAAGGCTATTCTACGAGAGAAATACCACGCAGAGTTGCCATATCCCAATCCTGTGTAGTAACTACGTTGCAGAGGTACCACGGCATGGGTAATTTAGCTGATCGTCCCCGCAGCGGTCGCCCAACTGTTTTGACAGCTGCTCCGAAGCGCTACATCAGGTTGCTGGTAGCCTGCGACCCAACAATAAACACCACTAAATTAAAATCAGAATTACGGGCCGCCTCCGGACTTGAAGTTAGCACTCAGATCATTCGGAATTGCTTACACAAGGCTGGATTACGAGCACGGAGGTCTTGGCGAGCACCTTTGAAATCACAGGAACGACAGCGACGGAGATAACAGTGGGCTAGGCTCCGGAAAAACGAAGAAGACGGAGAGGAAAACATTTGGCAAAACTGCCTCTTCATTGACGAATCGCGAATCAGTACTCATCCAGAAAACCGAAGTGTCCGTGTTTGGAGAAGACCTGGAGACTTTGAAAGGCAAAGAACGGAAATTTTGAAAGGAAAAAGGCAAGGCGGGAAATCTTTGTCTGCATGGCCGTTGTGACGTTTGTGTGCCCGGAGTTTTATATTCCAAATCAGTTCTCAATATAAAAGTATAATAATAATTGTTATTTTTTAATAGGCTAGTTGACACATTTTGGAAATAGGTTTTAAATGGTTAATAATTGTTTTTAAGAAAAAAAACTTCTTTTTTTACCTAGAAAGCTAAAAACTTTATTTTTCAAATATATTTTTCGATGTTGATGATGTTATCGAGAGAAATGAAGATTCCCGCTAGGTTTCTTTCGCGTATTATAAAATAAGACCTGATGCTCGGTGCTTATCGTCGAAATACAGGACATGTCCTAAATCAATCTTTATAATTAAAGAGAGTGGATCGATCAAAATGTCTTCTGTTGCGATACGCAGGTGAAAAGCACAGAAATATCCTCTTAACCAATGTAAATATTTTCACTATAGAACAACATTACAATTAGCAAAATGATAAAGTGTACGCTCACAGTTCTATAGAAGCTGCTCAAATGGTCGGACAGGTACAACGTGGTCATAATCCTGTGTCAGTGATGGTTTGGATCATGTCTTATCAAGGGGTCACAACTACATTTTTGTGAAAAGGGAGTGAAAACTTCAGCCAAAGTGTATCTAAGTGTACCAACGTTCCCGACTTTATAAGAGTTGAAGACTGGCCCCCATCTAGCCCAGACCTTAACCCTTTAGACTTCAAATTATGGTCAGTTTAAGAGGACATGGCCTGCTCTAAACGACACGGTGACATTGAGTCTCTTAAAAAATCTTTGGAGTAAGCAGTGGCGAAATTTCCGTCGGAAACAGTGCGTAATCCATAGATTCGTGGCCAAACAGATTAAAGGCCTGTATAAAAGGCAAAGGTTTTTACGTATAGAATATTTTTTTTATTTATTGCTGAGATTTTAATAAATATGAAGTTATATATTTAAATAATATTACATTACTTCATTAAAATAAAATGAATTTTCATTTTTAACAGAACTTATGGCTAGACTATGTACTTATAATTATAAAGAGGAAAGATTTGTTTGTTTGTATTGAATAGGCTACGAAACTACTAGACCGATTTGAAAAAATATTTCACATTTAATCCTACATTATCCCTGATAAATATAGGCTATAGAGTATTTTCAAAAAAGTTAGGGCTCCGTATAATAACTTCGATAATGTAACCCAACGTGTGAAAAAAATAAAAAAAATAACGCGTACGCTGTGGAAGTCATTGACAATAGAGCAAAGTGATGTACTAAAGTTATATAGAGGACATCAATATCTACAAAAAAATCTGTAACACCATATATGTAACAATTACTGTTTCGTCACAACTAGAGGTTCCCTGCGGTTTCAACCGCGTTAATTTGAGGAAAAATATCTCAAGCGGCAAGGAGCCGAAAGTCGGCACCTGTCAATACCCGGATGTGCAGCAAGGGGCCGAAAGTGAGTCAAACTCAAAAGATAGAAATATGCTGTCGGAGACTTTTTACAGAACTTTTAAAGGGAAACAATTCCGTAATACATGATTTTAGTGTAACTTTAACCGTTTACACAGCGCAAGCTCACAATTGGAACATTTTTACCTGTTTTTGGAACATTTTTCATCGATGCTCCGCTTTTACTGGTCGTAGCGTGATATTATAGCCTCTAGCAGTATAGCCTACACCGAAGCGAAGCGAGGGCGAGCCACTAGTATAAATATATAATTTCTGTAAACGGAACCCCTTTCCACGCGATTTGAACTCGCACTTGACCGTTTTTATTGCTGTCTTGTGACTGTAAATCCCGTGTTTTTAAGCTTGAAGAAATTTAACCTTTTAGACCTAGCAACCATAGTCCTAAGTGTCCATTATTTTTTAATATCTAAGTGATGGACCAAGTAGAATGTCGTTTGTTTTCCCCTGTCATCAACCCAATTACACAAATTCATGGCACATATCCGATACTATTTAATGAGATATATATTGGAACCATAGCTCTGTTTTTAAGCAATAAGGTAAATACGTGTGAAGTGGCGAAGAACTCAATCTCACATCAATCATGATAAATTAAAAGTAAAGTTAGTGAAATTACGCTGTTTTGTATAACACATTACCTGTTGTGGGCTGTTTAGTAAAATTAATAAACTCGGAATTTGTGCTTTGCTAGATCTGAGTTACGGCTTACTACTTGGCTTGGTGCACCAACTCGGAATTTAGTTTTGAGTAAACTTAAAACGTATTTAGATGTACAGTAATTTTATGTAGTTCTTTTGTATTTATGAAGTCTGTTGTCATTTTTCTACGGGGTAACATACCTTTTATGAGCGAATGAATATCGTGAAGCTTGGAATGATTTAAGTTAATAGTCAACAATTTCCAGAAAAAATTAAATTCTGATATTTCTTCAATAAATAATGGTAATGCAGAATTTTTCGCATTATATATAATCTGAAATGTTTTTAAAAATAAGTTATACGTTGACACAAGTAAGGCGCTGCAAAACTTTCACTCTGACAATTTATTATATAGATTACATTGGTTTCAAAACAAAAATATTCAAAACCTAACGCTCGTCGTTAGTAACTTGTTTCAGCTAACTGAATTTAAAAAAAAACACACAATGTTTACAGTTTATCAAAACTTTGCGAGATGGAGGAAGAGTCCCTTAAATAGTGTAAATAGAAAGATTTGCTAAAGGAAAACTTAATTTTTATCTAAAAATAAAAAGGGAAAGGTGAAAAATAAATTGCCGTTAATTAAAGTCTACCAATTAAAAGGCTCAATCATGTATATCTACTTCTCCTTAGATGCTATATTATAGCATATAAGGTTAACTTTAAAAATTTGGCCAGAATTATCGTGCTTATTACAACTGACTTACTGTATGTACTACTTACATTTTCATTTTAAAGTATTACGAAGGTGTACACACATAAGTACATTTTTAACTGAGTGTCTACCACGTAGTTTTATTGCCATATTTATGGCATTAACTGTATATTGATTCAAAGGACCGCGTAACATATTAAATTTTATGTCATTTGTAGGTACTTTATATTGATATGTTAGTCCTTGAGCTAGATATCAGAAATGCAAAATCATTAAAGAGGGTTTAATATTTTAGTTAAGAAAAATGATCCTAAGTGGGTACACCTCCGTAATACTTTGAAATGATGATAAATAGCCTACATGAAGTCAGTTGTAATAAGTACGACATAGAGAAAAGGCAATTAATTATTCTGATCAAAATGTTACATTAAACCTGAAATTTCATGAACTTTTTATTTTAGATGATAAGTTACGAAAGAGAAGTAAATGTACATGATTGAGCCTTTTAATTGATACAATGAATTCCCGGTATTTACAGTAGCACATTTAACGGGTTCGACGGCGGGGTCAGGCGGGTGATTTTTCTAAATTCTTTAAACGCAGTTCATATAGTTTTAAAAATAAAAAAATTAAGTCTTCTTTCAGCTCAATTTTCTATTTACAGTACCTATTTAAGAAACTTTACCTCCATATGGCAAAGTTTTGGGACAACCTGTACATAGGTACTCTAGCTAGCATCTGCCTGCGACTTCGTCTGCGTTATACTTAAGTTTTTTAGAATTGCATAGGAATCTTAATTTTTACGGAATACAAAGTATCCTATGTGTCAAAAACTAGGTAATAAACTAAACATACCAAATTTCATCCAAATCCGTTATGATGTTTTAACGAGAAAGGGAAACAAACATTCACACGTACACCCATACAAACTTTCGCGTTTCTGTTATTAGTAGAAAATATATATCCCACCAAAACACATTTCCATGTAAAATGTTGCCAAGACGAGACAAACTTCTAACTCTACATGCCCTTACAAAGGACATTGTTCAGCGTCCATACATAGTTAGCCTAAGAACCAACAATCATGAAATATTATTTTCTAGGTTCAAAATCGTAAGTAAATGACTGTAAAAACAAAGATTATTGACGGACACTTCTGAGAACTTAAATTATTAGGAAAACTAAAAAAATTTTGAGGTTATGTTTAATATTCAATGAAACATAGGTCAACCTATGAATTTAGTATGAACTCAGTATGAAGTGAATTAATATTATAACTAATTCATTTTATTCGATGCGATTTTAAAGAATAACTATTAGGAAAAACTTGGTAAGGTAGGAATCATGAATAAAATAAAAACTGCAGTTTTGCTTCTTATTTATTGACTATTTTTCACATAATTGTATCATATTGTTTATTGTATTTATTTGTATATCACGTGTATATTGTGTAAATATGCAGCGTGAATGTGTATCAGGTGTTCTTGAATAATTTGGCAGTATGATCCTCTCAGGATGTTGTGGCACAGGTTCACTAGCACTTGGTAATAAGGGCTCTGCTCTTTGGTAACATTGATGGCATATTAGATAGCCGAAATAGTTAAATTAAAGGAAAAACAATCGCAAATAAACACACACAACAGGTAATCCGAAACGAGAATGCACTTTCCGGTATATTATACTACTCTTTGGAATGCACGAATGCCACAGATTACTACGAATGCAAACAGCATGCACCACAACCACAGAGTATCGAGTTTTATGCCGGCCCTTCACTTGACAACAATTTGTCCTTGTCATGCTTAATAAGGAATGAAAGGACAAACTGATGTCATGTTTTAAAATAGCAAATACGAATAGCCAAGTGAAGTGCCAGCATTAGGAAGAAAAAGTGTTTTGTTTGCAGCGCTGCCATAGATTATACACATAAAATGGTCTCAGATTATTTTTTAACTTTTTCATTTAGCTTTAGCTTAACTGGAAGTGTCCGTCACAATCTAAATACTGATAATTATCGCAAAAAATATACTAAGTATTATCATAAATGCCAAATTGGTGTTGGTTCTTAGGCCAATTTTAACATTGTCCTTTAAACAAGATGACTTTTTTTGTTGGTTATAAAGGGTAACATTATAATTTCACTATATAAATTTTTTTATTTATAATAACAAGGAGTCCGTATAATAGTTTTCAGACCTCTAGCGCCAAAATTGCAGACTTTTCATACACAATTCCATCCCTTAGTTTAGGGGTTCGGGGATAAAAGTTACAAGTGACAAAATCAGGTTTTTTAGATATCAATAAAATCTATATTATAAAAGCTATACAACTAAAACATTCTCCGCCTTATTCCAAAACGCGGTCATTAGTTACTCTTAGTTTAAACCTAATGTTCTCTCTGTCTTTTTTTTAGCAAACGCAAGTGACAGCATCCGTTTTAGTCCAGGTCTAACTAAGGCGGTATATATTTATTAAGTTGGCTATTGACAAAATATCCCTAGAATTTTGATTATCTGGTATAAACCAAACCCAAGTTGTAAGATTTGAAATAAATAACGAAGCGCTTCGAGAAAAGGTACCTACTAAATAGTGCATTTGCGCTTCGCTTGTCTCGTCTTGTCGTCTTCGATAATATTTAATTTTATTTATTATTCATGCTATGCATAGTTACAAGTAATATTATAAATGCGAAAATGCGTCGGTCTGTCTGTTACCTCTTCATGCCCACACCACTGAACCTATTTAGATAAAATTCGGTATATAGTTTAGTTAGTTTTTTGGTTCCCGGCAAAGGTCATAGAATAGTTTTTATCCCAAAAACCATCCTTTAATGTGGTGAAAAGGTGGGGGGGAATTTTATATATGAAAGCAATTTTTAAAGACAGACTAAGTCGCGGATATCCGCTTGTAATAATATATATTTAATATATAAACTCGCAATATACAGTTCATGGGTGGGGTAGACAGTGTTTTTATCATTTTATTATAGTTCGCCCCCTTTAAAATAGTTCAGCCTCCCATAATAGAGATCTAGTCAGGTCACAAACATATTAATACTAACACAGAACAACGGTGATTATTACATAACACACTAAAACCCAAATTTGTACGTACAAAGTGACATTCAGACAAAATTACACAACCATTCTTTTATCAAGAAGTTTGTAAAACATACTACTTATCATAAAAAATCCTACTCACGAGACAAATTTTAGTTATACGTTGTACATTCACTGTAAATATAAAAAGAAGTACTATTACTCTGTACACTGAATGTAAGCGTCTCAAGTAAGGGTTTGGGGAATGCAATTTGTATATTCCCAACCAAACCATCAATATGTGTACATTTTGGTGAATATCGAAAGACTCACAAGGAGTCGCAAGCTCCACGTTACACATTTTGATTGCGACAACAGCGTGACACTACACGAGTCCTCAAAAATCCATTATATTATAAGCTTATCATTCAATCATTAAGGGTGTCCATAAAAGTGATGTCATAAGTGTATTTGATACATTTTTCACAGTGTCAGTCATATGGTCTCGTCTTGGCAACACTACATATGAACATGTTTTTGGTGCGATTTCTTTTCTTTTTGTAAAATGCTTGACAATTTTGTTTTTTCCATCCCATAATTTAAGAGGTTGGGGGATAAATGTTACAAGATTTATGAGTTTTTGTTGTTTGTGTACTAATACTCCCTTACCTAGATATCAATTTAATCTAAAAAATAAGAGCTATACAATTAAAACTTTATATTTATTATGTCCGCTATTGAAAACATATCCCGAGTATTTAGTAAAATCCAAACTCAAGTTATAAGAATTAAAAAAAAGCGACGAAAAGCATGGAGAATTGGTAGTATAGTGCCCCTGCGCTTCGGTTAGCTCGTCTTGTCGTCTTGACGGGGGCACTACTGTGCCCCCAGATTAGATACAAAAGTAGTGCTTTGCAGTAATGATCTTTACACGGTCCCTCGAACCAAGTCACTCGGGTGTAGTCATAGATAAGAGCTGATATATATTCTGGTTGTTATTTTTTTCAATGCTGTAGAAACATCCTCTATTGTGGAAAATAATAAGGTACCTACACCTGGTCAAGCATTCGAAATTACACTCTAATTACGAAATAAAGTAATTCCTATCGAAAACTTTAATTATGGGCTTGGCAATGAACAATCAATGATTCCTGTTTTAAAATATTTTCAGGGTTCTGCGAAGTCAACAAGGAACCCTTGCAGTGTCATCATATCCGTCCATATGTCAGCAACTTAGAGAGTTATTGGTCAAGCAAACTGTAATTTTGCATGTATATTGGTGTCGATACTGGCATGACTCTCTAAACTTAAAACCAAATTGAACATCAATCTCTCCTTTTTTATTCTTTATAGAGAATGACAAGGTTACACTGTCAAATTTAAGTTTAGGTTTAGAGAACCATGCCAGTCGAGACCATTATACTTACTTCCCTACATAATCACACCGACAAAGTGGTAAAATAAAAACTTGAAGAATTTTATTTCCTATGTGATTTTTTCTAGTAAAATTGGCATTTCTAGAAAAAGAATCTAATAAAATAGTTTTTGAACGGGCGCAATTTATTTAACTACACATAAATGTTCCGTTCCATATCTTCGAAGTCCATTATCTGATCTTCTCTTTCTATGGTTAATCCGTGCGGTGACGGAGAAAGAATACAACTCACCGCCCCTTCTCTTCCCGTGGGTGTCGTAAGAGGCGACTAAGGGATATCGGAGCTTCCATCCGCTCTGCTGGTGGTAGGGTGCCTAACACCCGCCTGGTTTGTTACCACCGTGCGTATGGTGAAAAACCCGTGAAGTGCTTCTCGCGCGTTTCGGGGTCAGCCAGCGTACAACCAGGGCTCGAGTGTAGGTTGTCGCGACGGATTCGGTCAAGGGCGAGGCATCCGTCGAACCGATGCCGGGAGGACTACATCGACCCGCCGGCCAGGGAGACCCGTAGAAACGTTTGTCCCGCTGGCCGCCCGTGGCACAGTACAGGGGCCCGAGCGTTCCTAACCAGTTCGCGAGGCTGCCCCATCATGTCACGCATAATCTCGGGGTGGACCGTCGTGCCGGTTGGTGACCGGGGCGTGGGGTCCCGGCGGCCACTTCCGGGGGGGTGCGGGGGCCCTTCCGTCCGGTGGGTCGGCGTATATCCTCTGCAGGCAATTATTCGGGGAAACATGCCTCCCTAATTTGCCCGGTCTTGTCGCGACAACGTCCACTCGTTTCACGTCTCTTTATCACTTCCATAATGGCAGCTCTCAAAACAAAGTTTGGACGTACAGCGGTGCACACCCCCACGCCTTCAACGCTGTTTGAGGTCGAGTTCTGCAACATACGCGGACTCCACTCTAACCTCAATGCTGTCCACCACCATCTTGAGACAGCACGGCCAGCATTGTTGTTCCTGACGGAGACACAAATACTTCCGCCTGCTGACACAGGCTAACGTGCTTGAAGAGTCCTTCAAAGCGAAAGCCGGTGTATGCCTGTATGTTCGGGCGGATGTTTGTTGTCGCCGTCTTCGCTGCTTGGAAGATCCCTCCTTCTCCATGTTGGGGGTACACGTCGATTCTGGTCCCCAGGCCAGAGTCTACGTGTGCCTCTACAGATCCCACACTGGCGATGTTGAGACAACTCGACTTTTCGAACATCTTAGTCGGGCAGCAGATGACGCGCAGGAGCAATTTCCCAATGCAGAATTGGTGTTTTTGGGGGACTTTAATGCTCACCACAATTTGTGGTTAAGTTCCTCGAAAACTGACCATGCAGGGATCTCTGCTCACGCGTTCGCTCTCACGCAGGACTTGAAACAACTGGTCGATCAGCCCACCAGGATTCCAGATATTTCAAGTCAAGCGCCTTCATTACTGGACCTTCTGCTCACGACCCATCCACAGGGCTATCAGGTTGTGGTAGGAGCCCCCCTGGGCTCTTCAGATCACTGCCTGATATCTGCCAAAGCACCACAGGCCAAGCCTCCACGTCCAACGGTGGTAAAACGCCGGATTTGGCATTATGGGTCGGCAGATTGGGACGGTATGCGTGACTACTTTGCGTCCGTCCCTTGGAAGCAGCGCTGCTTCAGTGACAAGGACCTATCAGCCAGCGCCGTTGGTATTACTGAGGAGATTGTGATGGGTATGGAATACTATATTCCTCATTCCAATCTCATCAGTAAGGGCACACGTAACCTCTGGTTCAATCACGACTGTGCTGAAGCTGCTTCGCGTAAGCAAGCGGCATATCGTGCTTGGATCAGAGGCCGCGCTATTAAGGATCCCGGGGTCGATTCACTAAAAGCAGCCTACAATATTGCTTCCAAGGCTTACATCAGAGCGGATGCCCAGCGCGTAGCACGTGTTGGTCACGAACTTATAACGCATCCTACGGGCTCCCGTAGCTATTGGCGTTTGGCCAAGGCCGTGCAAAAGAACTTCTGCCAGCCCTCGCTGCCACCTCTGAGATGCCCAGACGGAACACTAGCTCATAAGCCGCAGGAGAAAGCCGATTTACTGGCAAAACTCTTTGCGGCTAACTCCCGAATCGATGATTGCAATGCACCGCCACCATCATTACCTCATTGTGGCACAACGATACCGGATATCAAAATCAGGCAGCGTGAGGTTCGTGCCGAATTGCAATCACTCGACGTCCGGAAAGCTAGTGGACCCGATGGCATCCCAGCAGTAGTACTGAAAAAATGTGCAGCGGAGTTGTCTCCCGTGCCCACGCGTTTGTACCAGTGCTCGTATTCTTTGGGGCGTGTGCCGGAAGCTTGGAGAGATGCTAACGTGCAACCGGTACACAAAAAAGGGGATCGCTCAGACCCGGCTAACTACCGGCCAATAGCAGTCACCTCAGTATTATGTAAAGTCCTAGAAAAGGTCCTTAACAACCATCTGACCCGCTACCTAGAGGATCACTCCCTGATCAATGATCGTTAATATGGTTTTAGACCGAAACGATCGACGGGTGATCTTCTAGCGTACTTGACTCATATCTGGGGTGAGGCTATCGACAAGCGAGGCGAATCGTTGGCTATTAGCCTTGACATTGCCAAGGCATTCGACAGGATCTGGCACAAAAATCTTCTCTCCAAGCTTCCGGCATACGGTCTGCCGGCCCAGTTCTGTTCTTGGGTAGCTGACTTCCTGCATGAGCGTAGAATTCGTGTCCTTACGGATGGTAGCAGTTCGCGGTTCATGTCAGTGAATGCCGGCGTTCCCCAGGGCTCCGTCCTATCCCCCACTCTCTTTCTGCTGCATATCAATGACTTAATTCCTCTTGAGAATATTCATTGCTATGCAGACGATAGTACAGTGCATGCGGGGTATCTCGGACAAGCAGCGGCTGGGCAGGCGGTAACCAAGGAGAAACGGGAGAATCTTGTCATTTAGCTCAATCAAGCTTTGGACCACATTTCTGTATGGGGTACCAAGAGCTTGGTTGAGTTCAATGCTAAATAAACCCAGGTCTGTGCTTTCACGGCAAAAACGTCGCCATTCCTTTTATGTCTTTCTCTTCAGGGCACAACACTGGAGCTAGAGAGCAGTATCACCATGCTCGGTATGGAGATTCGCTGTGACTTAAATCCAAAGAATTACGTCGAAAGTGTGATAAAAACAGCCTCACGCAAACTCGGAGTCCTGAACAAGGTGCGGCGTTTTCTCACGCCCGCGTTTTTAGACGCAGGTGCGGTCTTGCGTGGAATATTGCTCGCACCTCTGGGATGGCTCCGCTAAGTACTTGCTCGATGCTTTGGATAGGTTACAGCGGCGCGCAATCCGCATCATAGGCGATGAGGAGGTGACTAAACACCTCGAGCCTCTTCAATTACGCCGTGACGTGCCGTCACTAAGCGCGTTCTATCGCCTGTACCACGGCGAGTGTTCTGAGGAGTTATTCTCTCTTATTCCACCTTCCCCTTTCCTTCAGAGGACCACGCGCGCTGGCTTACGTTGTCACCGTCTAACTGTGGCTACAATTCCAACGCGTACAAAGAATTTTGGTGACTCATTTCTTAGTCGTACTATCCGTAAATGGAATGCTCTGCCCGCTCACGTGTTCCCTCCCTCTTACAACCTGGGATCCTTTAAAAGAGGCGTGAAGAAGCAACTTGCAGGCCGGCAGGGTAAGGATGGCTGGTGTGGCAGTTAGAACTGCTGTATCAGCTATCTTCGCGTCTGGACTTCACCTTCACTTAACATCAGGTGGGGTGGAGTCATTTGTCGGATCTATCTATAAAAAAAATGGGACTATCTCGGGAGTACATCCTTGCGATTACAAAAAGAAGGAACAATAAAGATTGTCGACAATGTTTCAATAGTAAATGGAAATTCCCTAAAGCATTTGATAATAATAATTAAAGGTATTATATTAAAGGCATACCTACAATGCGAAGAG